CTCATAACAATAGTTATTGTAATAAACTAAAAAGAAGCAAAACTGGGGTCCTTATGGGTTTTTTTAGAGATGACCGAACTGAAATGATTATTTGTTAAAATTTTCAATTAATGCAGCAGGTCTCTTCTTGACCCAAATTTTACCAAATAAATTTTAAGACATAAATATTTAATATCAGTGTTATATTCAAACAGCCCGAAAAACATGTTGAACTTCAGAAATGAAATTGGTCTATTTTTTATTACATGAATATTAAGATAATTTTTTTGATTTTTAAATTTCATACTTTATAAGACATATGTCACTAACACATTTGAATTTTTTTGAAATATTCTCTATTGATATTGATAACCTTGCAGTAACTGTACTGGTCCAATTTTTATAAAAATGGACCAGCTGATGTTCATTGATAAAAAGCAACCTTTAAGTTCTTTGTAAAATATTCTTTTTTTTTTCTCCCAATTTTTTCTAAAGGCCTGTACTTCCAATGTAGAATTATAAAAAGAGAACGTCACATATAAATATTAGAAAAAAATCACAGAATGATAATTCTGTCTATGATCTTTTTTTAAGAAATTCACATTTAATTTTCATTAAGTTTTATGACACCTGTGTGAAAAACTTCCATCTTTTGTGAGCAAGTTAGTATAAATATTTAGTCTGACGCAATTCACTTTTTAAAGGGAATGTTAGTTTGTCCAACAAACAGCAGAATAGACCTATTAAATCGTTGAACAAACATATTCAGTTTTTATTGTCAATATTTATTTTTAAGCCACTGATATATTGGGTCGGTGATTATTTTTTTAATGTAACGTGGGCTGCAGACATTATTTAAATCCTCCTTTGTCCCTCTATATGAAAAAAATACATGAAAAATATGAAATTAGAACATTAAACACATCATAATAAATGAAAAAAATCAACTGTTGCCATTGGTAAAGAACGGTTAAGATTATTGCATTTTAATTTTATAGCATTTTATTTTCCCATTCAGTAATTCTTTGATGTTGAATAATATGACTTTTTCATAAATAACAAATTAATGAAAAGATTTATATGTTCATTGAAGTATAAATACGCCACCTGAGATTTTGAAGACGTGAGTAAGAAAGTTAGCCGCAAATATGGTCTGCATCAAGAAGTATTTAATGTGGTTTCTATCATTAATGCAGTACTATGGTTAAAATCCTGTAAATTCAAAATGTTCTCATTAACTGCATTTTGTTCTAAAAAGGGGTTGACAAGATGCAAATGAATGTTCTATTTTTCTTCCTGAAACCTCCCTTCCTTTCCTAAAAAAGGGTAATTATATGTATGTTGCTGAAATTTAATGCGACAGTAGTTTACAAATGTTCAAAATTTGTAAATCTATAAAGAAGAATCAAATCGAGGTTACAAACAAAAACTGAGGGAATTGCATGAACCCCAAAAGGAACGAGACTGGGTGGGTCAACAAGGTAAGCGTCTCCTGATAGGCATGCATCAATCGTCATGGAAATTCACACTGATAAACTATTCAAATGACTACCGAGAATAAACCTGATGGGAAAAACTTTCTTGTAGTTTTGTCTGTCATCTTGAATCAAATGGGGAACTTGAAATGGTGTGCTTTAAATTGTCCTTAATATTCTGGCATTGACAGATGAATTAGTGGAGATAACAGGTGGACTTTTAATTTCATTGAAAACAAAACTGAAAAAAACAAATCTAGTAAAAACTAAAGAAAATGTACTGAATAGAAGTTGTTAATGTCTGACCTCCAACGATAATCAACAATTTATAAAGTTTATCATTCAGTTACAAATGCGAGACGTATGTGTGTATTAACAGTTTATATGGGAAATATTATATTTATATGCTACCTGCATTAGGCGATTGGGCAAGAATAGGTCAATAATAGATACTCTATATTGTGTAGCTGTAATGATGCATATTTGTTTGAAAATATTTGCTTATGACGAAAGGGGATAATGTTTCATACAATTATACATGCGATATATATTTCATGTCAGTTTGTACTAGAACATAATTTTTCAGTTTGGAATAACACACAGCATATAGTTTGAGCCTATTGTCATAGAATGTAATATTTCATTGATTAAATTTTATTAATCGTACTTCATGAAATGTAATGTTAACTTGTTTAGATAAGCTTTGCTATACTCGATCTTTGTTGTTTCCGTTTGGTGTCTAAAACCAGTGGTTTGAACTCAATGTTCGTTGAAATGTATAGTTTACGAACAGTTGGTGTTATTCATTTTACAATAAAGTTGATCATATTTAGCACTGTAATACATTTTATTGGAAAAAAACAGATAACGATTGACAAATCTTTAGTTCGAATTGCTAATTTGCTATGACAGTTAAATTAAGAAAATTGATTTATATGAATACAAAAAATATCTTGAGTGTCGAAGTATGTAAAGTGTTTGTGTCATTTTTATAAGCGACAAATTAATTAGTTCCAAAATAAAAAAAATGCTGCCTTTTCAGTTAAATCTTTTTTTTTTATGATTCTGACATTATAACAACGAGAAATGCTTAAAAGCTTTTTAACAAATGTTTTAAAACACTGCATTAGTAAATTTTATAATCTAGCTTTTAAAGCAATGTAAAATTTTCAGAAATTGAAAAAAAGATCATTTGATTAGCCTTTTTGCAATAAACAATTTTTCAATAATTGGACAATTTTTTTTATTATTTTTTTCAACTTCAGAGTCAGTTTTGAATAAATTTAAAGGTAAACAAAACTTTGATATGATTTCTGTGTGCACAATACATTCTACTGGAGAAACCTTCATCACTTACCCACGAAACTTTAAAATTGAAAAGCCAATGACATAAAACATTGGACAGTACAAAACCCAAGTAGGTTTAATTTGAGGCAGAAAATTCTGAATCTATGACCTATTCACACATTTAAATATTTCTTTCAAAAAATTTTGTTTTCAAAATTTCCAAATGTGAAAGCCAACCAATCTATGGTTAGATAAAGTGTTGTCCAAATTTTGTTGTTTTCTGTCCATTTAATGACATTATGCTTTAGTCAAGCCTAAAGCTTGTGATTCCTCAGACATGTCAGATGTGCAGTACTTCAGACCAAATTGTAAGATAAGAAATTATTATGCTTCTCCTAGAGAACCATTTGTTTATTTCCAGGCAATATTTCATACGTATCAGGTTGTGTGGGACATAAAAGGAAATTGGAAGATATTCGTTGTAGTCTAGATATGCATCTTTTTATCTGTGTTTATAAGACTTGTAATTTACTGTAATCCCGAGGGAAATTGAGTCTATATTGAAGGCACCCAACTGTATCAATCTGCTTAGGTTATTTTTTTCTGATGATGAAACATTTTGTGTGCTTGGTGGATGAGAAATTGATTGTATATGTCATATGTAATTCTTTGGATCTCATCCTTGAAATATAAGATATTTGTCACCAGACAAAATGATCCATATTCTGGTGTAGTATTCATCAATCAAATTTACAATAGGGATTGTGGGTAATATTATGTGTTAAGTACCAAGGGATTTGTAGATTATGTGCCTGCCATGATGGAGTCATGGATTTTGTTCAATATTGGAAATCAGAAATATATTTATATGGTGAATCATTAAGGTGTTTACCAAATTTCTTGCAAAAGTCTGTGGTTCAGTACTATTTTAATTTTCTCATGTGCTTAGTAACCTAGAAAAGTTAAGGTTGTTGAAATTAAAATAGAGGTGGATGAAACTGCTTTCCATCTGTCTCTGTTTCCATTCAGTCTGTCTGTCCCATAAAATTTTTTCTAAGGAACCATAAGTCGAAGAGTTGAAAAATTTGTTATCAAGCTTCATGTGAGCAGGCTATACTGTGTGATTAATTTTCAGATGCATTGCTCATCAACTTCCTGATAATGAAATGCTTTGTTCACGTTATGGCCAAGAGTAAATTTTTTGTTGCATTGTTTTAAAAGCTATACAAAATTAAGTCTCTCTGAAATTTGGAATAAACCTTCATGTGAACATGCTATACCATGTGATGCCATTTTGTATCCATCACTTACCATCTTCTTACAGAATACTTATAGTGAGGTATCATTAGTGAGAAGTAGCTCACAGTTCACTTCTTTTACAGGCTTATTTTTTGTTCTTAAGCATACAGATGTATTGGGGCAGTTATTTAGTAAAGAAGTCAGCTATACCAAGGGCTGTATGGGCTGTGTTGAAATTTCAATGATTCGTTTAGATTTTGCTTTGTGTTGAAGGCCTCACTGTCACTTTGAGATGAAAAACAGCAATAAAATAGCTGTTCCTGTTGCTTTTGAGTTTTGTCAAGTACCTGAAAGGGATGTCATGAATTGAAACACTGTATCCCCCTTTTGCATCATATACTGTGTATTCATTTATTTTCCAGGGTACCAATTTTTCGTGGATGGATGATAAATTTAATTTTTCATGTGTATTTGATAAAGTGGTTTTGTCAAAGTTTGCATATACATGAAAGCCTATATATAATATGTACTTCGTTGAACATCTAAATTCGTGGTTCACCTATACCCATCGAATCAACGAAAATTAGTATCCCATGAATAGTAAAGAATCCACATCATGTGACACCAACTCTTACTTCTAATTTGAGACAAGAACATAAATAGACAGCAATAGCCAAAGACAAGGTTCCTGACATGGGACATATTTGAGGCAATAACATGAATAGACAGCAATAGACAAAGACAAGATTCCTGACTTGGGACATATTTGAGACAAGAACATAAATAGACAGCAATAGACAAAGACAAGATTCCTGACTTGGGACATATTTGAGACAAGAACATAAATAGACAGCAATAGACAAAGACAAGGTTCCTGACATGGGACAGCACTGTCCTAACTCTTGAAGACTTCTTCCTTCATATTTTCTTTGTTTCTGAAGGTATTTACCAAATTGCTCTGACTTGAATCATGCATCATATTATGCAATTGAAATTAAAGACAGAAAATAAAACAAAAAATTTCAATATTTTAAAATTGTATTGACGAATTGATCATATAAGTCAGGATTTCAAAAATCCTTCTTTTGTAATATACAGATCATACAATATAATATTTCAATGAAAGCCCAATAAAAAATTGTTCTGACAAGAGTTGTCTGTTCCTGACAGTCATTCATTTTGTTTGTCCTTTACATTAAAGGGAATAGTTACTATTGACTACACAAATATCATAGAGACTGAAAGGAAAACTATAGTTTGCTCTCATTCTCCATTCAACTTATTCTCAATAGACATTTTTTGTTTGACAAATGTCTGTATTGCAATATCCTTGAGCTCAGTAAGTTTAGAAAAGTAGATAAATGATATATCCAGGAAAAATCCAACAAGATCAGTTTCATCATTAAATACTTCCAACAATACTTTAGCACTTTTATAATTTACTGGTAAAATATAAATATTCGTATCTGAGATAATATCCATTTCAGAGCAGATTTTTCGATTCAGTTTATTCACATTCTTTCTTAAAAACATAATCCAGCCGCAAAATTACTGTTATGTGAAATGTAAAAATATTATGAGAAAGATAAAATATTTTCTCGTTTTATATCTTGATCCATGTTATGAAAACGACTAATTGGAATGTTCTCTTTTAGTTTCACATGCAATTATCAATGCATAAATATCCTGGACTAAAACACTTGCTCAAACACGCACACACATTATACCTGGCACTACTGTATTCTCAATCGAAATGCAGTTATGTTTTTTAAAAACATAAAAAAATAACTTGTTAATTAACTTATACAATATACACACACCATGCACTATGTAGAAATTTAAATATTCATGTTTCACATGCTAAATTTACATATCTACAATCTCAATCAGAACGGAACACGAACGAAAAAGTAACGAAAGATCCATCGCTACACCACTGAAAATGACATAGCATTGTGCCGTATGTCAATATTAGGTCTGTGGTGTACCATTGCCGTGGTAACAGTTTGTTTGTGTGGATTTGGGAGTGACTGTAATCCGTGGGTGGGAGTTGTTGACATATAAGAACATTTTGATATGCTAGTCAATAATGGTGTCATTTGTACAGGTCCATATTGGTGTTGCGATGAAAACGACACAGGAACAGTAGTGTCACTGGAATGACACATCGGTGGTGGCGGTAGATGGTGCATTGGCATATGATACGAATTCTGGGTAATTGTAGAAATTGGCACTGATTTTAGATCTGTTTCTATTTCGTTCAAGTCTATATCTCTTTGATTGTGTCTGCTGTTGCCATGGTGACGTGGATGAGACGATTTTTTCTTTTGAATTGGATATGAGTGGCGACTAGATTGGATGCGTTTAATTTGTTCACAGTCATTGAGAGAAGCATTTGCAGAGGCGCGTTCTCTCTCACTGCAGATGGGTTTGAATACTGGAGTATCTTTGTCATTTCCTGTGCTGTTTTGTGCACTGTGAATATATTGTCCTGACCGAGAACTACGAAAGCCTGAATCCTCAGAATCTGTGGATGCTTGAGAGATTGGCCGATCACATTCAAACTTGTACTGAGTTTCACTAAGATCAGACATACCGCTATCATGGAATGTATTGTACATGGACTTATTTTCATTTCCTGGTATATCAGGACTGGCATCAAATGCCTCATTGTGTTCTGCATAATCTCCTGAATGACATGACCGATTCGAACTCCAGTATTTTTCACTTTCTATTAATTTGGCACTCTTGTAATCATCTTTTTCCCTCTTTTTCGCAAATTTACGATGAGGGTCATGTTTTTTAGTCATAATCTCTTTGCGGATTCTGTTTTTACGCAGAAAAAATAGAAATATCACAAACAGGACTAATGTTATGATAGCTGGTATAATAATCCCAAGATAGAATAAGAAATGTAACGTCATGCTGCTGGTCATGGTTGATGCATTCTGTGTAATTTTTGTGACGCAATGCCGCCCATATTAAACCTTCGAAATTTTGACTAAACCATCTTGATCGCTTTTGTCTGCAAAAGAAACAAAAATACAACTTGTCATGAAATTTTGTCTTTTAAAATTTGAATAAGAAATATGACATATAATAAAGCATGTTATGCAAGTGTATGATTGATCACAGAACGACAGTTATATGTCTGCATAAAGTTTTAGTACAAGGTTAAGAAATGTAGAGGTAATCTTGAAATTTACATATTTGTATACGGATACTAACAAGCCCATGTAAAACTAAACAATTGTTTAAAATTATATTCTACTTATGGTTTGGTATGATTGATTGATTGATTGATTGGTTTTAACACCACTTTCAACAATTGTTTGGTATGATTGGATGACAGTTGCATTTGATATTTTTAGTTGTCAATTTACTGTAAGAACTTAAAAGGCTTTGCTTTTTACAAAGTTATCAGTTTATGTGAAGAACAAAAAATGTTAAGTATGTCAATTGTTGGAGATGGTATGCTGCTCACTAGATATATTTTGATTGTGTTTTTGGGTTGCTGTATCCTTGGCATATATCCCACATATCTTTTAATTCATATGGAGTTGTGTGGTATGACCTTCTTCAGTCCTTGTTAAAAAAGAATCAACAAAAAGCACAAGTAGGAAAAAAGGCCTGAGGTACCAAATTAGCCAGTTATTGACACATTTCAATAACAGTTATCAGACATGGTCTCAACAATAGTATATTCTCCTCTTTACGCTAATCACATACTTGAATGTATAGTTATGATGTTGAGAGATACTCGGTGAGATGATCGTCAGAAATATATATAAAAAAAGATGTGGATAAAAGATTTGACACGATCGCTGACATGTCGAAGACGAATTATGAAAGGATTAAAGTTGTTATGTCGTGTTTTCTTTTGAATTTTGATGAGGGATTTTTAAGTAGGCTAAGAGAAGATTTGTGTTCACCTATCAAACTGATATTGAAAGAACGTATGAATAATTTTCTGCTTGTTTGGATTTGATTTCATTAATTTAAAATTCAGAATCGTGCAATTTATGGGTTTTGATAACAGAGTTATGGTCCATAATATTTCTGTTATGGAAATGAATATGAATTTTTTCTAACATCTCAATTAATTTTGAAATAGATTAATTTCCGAGATAGCATTCCTTTTAGTGAACATGAAATGGATATCTAAATGCATGAAAATTTCATAGTTATGGTTTTTTCTAGTCCTCACTTGTAATGTTAAGCCTAAATTTATTCAATTCCCCCCTTTTTTTGTTCCTTCACTATCATCCCACAAACATATTTTATTATAAATATTTATTATGAAAACTTAAGAATAATATTTAAATGATATTTGACTATTTTTTGTTGTTTTTTCAAATTAATTTATACTGTGGTCACGACATATTTTGATTTATATCCTTTTTACATGCAATTCTTTTAAAGTTTGAAACATGCAGGGTTAACAAAATGTGCATGGCCTGTGATCATTTTTGTCTGCTTGTGAACTTATTTTTAGCAAAATATTGAAGCATTTTGTTGAATTTATAACAAAAGGACCGGCCATCTGCTTTTGAAACTTGAATCTCCTTCTTCTAATCATTTTTAAAACCTCAACATGCAAGTTATATTTTAAGTATCTGCAACAAAATTAAACAAAATTTAATATCAACTTTATGTAGTGTAAACTTAACCAAATAGAGTTGAGTTTTTTTATTGAGTCTCACAGCATACAGTAAACACATGTGTTTAGCATTCTTCTTGCAAATGTTCGGCTTGATAAATATTTTATCTAGAGCTACCCGAAATATTGAAAATTTGCTCAAGTTAAAAGTCTTAATTCTGGGGTTTACTTCAAATATTCTTCAGGTCCTTCAAAACAATGCTTGACATTTTGTTAATTGATCCCAATATCAAATTAAAATAGTATTATCCAATACATTGCTGTAACAAGAAAAACTTGACAAAGTGTTATGCTTAAAATGGTAAATAAACAATATGTAGGTCAGGTTTGTAATAAAATTAAAAGGAAGATTGATTTTTTTTTTTGTACATATGGAAAATGAATCCCATGAAATTAACATGATTAATGCTTATGTCAAAAAGATATCCTATTTCCAAGGAAACCCAGCTGAGGGCAGAAATTGGATTAAAAAAGCTACGTCCAGTGTAACGACTTTCATAAATGAATTATTTCATAGGCCATTTCACAAAGGAAAAAATTGTTAAACAAATCTATGTGGTTCAGAAAACTGATAAACATTTCATCTTAGCGAAAAATTGATTTAAACCTTCCCAATCTTTTCTTATGTTGTTGGTGTTAAATTACCCAAAATTTATTTTAAAACTGGAGAATTTTTACATTAAAATTTTTACAATTATTAAATGAAGCTGAAATATTGGCTGATGATCTTCTTCAGCATTAAAAAAGGTGATTTGGTACATGGTCGCTGAAGGGGGAATGCACCTTCTCTTCCATGTTTTTTAAAAATGATGATTATACGATATGTTATATACCTATGGGTTTTGTTTATTCTTGCGTGTTTATCTTTCAAGCAGGTGAATCTAACAATTGGGGACATTTTTGTGGTCAATTAAAAATCTCTGGATCAAATTTCAGTTTGGGTATAATTGTTGTCTGCAAATTTAATTAAGAAACCATAGAAATCGGATAATAATTGAAAAAATGATTGTGTCCCTTGTTACTTTTGAGAATTGGCGATAAGTGTTGAAATTATGATTTTTAAAATTGTCATAATTACCAAATTATTGTAATTGAATTTTTTCGTTGAATTATATTATTGTGTGAAAAGATATTGTCAGTGATAATTGAATTTTCAAAATTTTATTGTTGACATGGTGTTTTGTGTCTAGTTAAAATGTCTTGGTGTAAATTTGGCTACAAAAGGTCTTTCATTTTCAGACAAAGATATAAAGAGTTTTAATTAGACTGAAATAATTCATTTTAACTGAAAATATAGATGTCTTAATTGGGTTGAAAGAATTTTTTATTATTTAAAAATTGAATTGTGTACTTTTAAAATGGAACTGCGAACATACAGTAGTTTTAATTGAACAGGATCCAGAATCATACATAAAAGGCAATTTGTCTTATCTTTTTTTTTAATTACCATTGCATTGCACGTTATGCAATTCAATCAGATCTTTTTTTCATTCATAAAGAAGGCATGAAAAAAAAATTAAAATAAGTTGATAATTGTGTAGTTGAATTCCTGAGTGTAAATATTGCGAGCAATGCCACCAAAAATGTGACGTTACAAAAGAATTTGAAATTTCCTATTTTCTATTTTATGAGAAGACAAAACAAAGGGAACAATATTAAGAAACCGCAAGTCTAAGAAAGAAAGAAAGAAAGACAACAACAGGAACAAAAGAAAATAAGACAAACATTTGTTAATTTGTATTGATAGGATCTGTGATGGTATCACATCAGCGGTAGACTTGTTTAAAAATATTGGTTCTTTAACATGTCTTGGAAATTATATCTGGCTGGTATAAGTTTGATTAGGTAACTTGAGAAAAGTACCAACGACTAGAATGTATAAATCTTAAGAAATAGACAATTAATGTAATACACAAGCTATTTAAAACATATGTAAACGTGGAAATTAAGTGATCAAGTCAACCATATACTGAATTGGTTAGTGGTAACTTTAACATTCAAAGAAAGAATTTAAACACATTAATTAGTAATTTTTAGTAATATCAATTTATTGAATTTTAACAGATCCATGTTTTGAATAACACTTCATGCTTTGTGGTTTCTTAAAGTTTGGATGTGAATTTAGACCTTACAATATCTTACACAAATAAACTGACTTGATTTCTAAGGGATACAAAGCAAAAGCCGACTTTTTCTAAATGGGCCAAATTAAACAATTTTCTCGTATTTGTACAACTTATTTTCTTAAAATTGTTTCCACCATAAAATACCACAATTTGTTAGCATTTTCTTCCAGTGAATTGTGGACAAGAATATAAAAGAAAAATTGATTGTTGGTATTTCGGTATGATTTTTTAATGGCGTAATTCAAACCTAACCAAGCTGTGATTATTTTCTGAATGTTTATGGCCAGTGAGCAAGGCTGCTTTATGATATAATGTGCGCTACTATTATAAAGAATATGTGGTCTCATTATTTTCACGCTGGGAAGTAATAAATTTATAAATATGCCTTACAAAAAACGCACAATGAAATTCATTATTTGAATGAAATCTGTCGTGATCATTTTATTCTATCAATTTTGACGATGATTTTACTTAATGCGGTTGACGTTTCTATTAAATACATTCTGACACTCATTTTCTGAACGGTTTTATGTAAAAATTTAAATTAAAAAGATATTAGATTTGAGTAGATTCATCAGTTTTTAAAGCCTTAAAAAAATTTTAGACAGAAAATTGGGAAGCCAGACTATTACTCCAATGGCGCTGCACTCCTGAATTATTTCCCCTTATGATTCTTCAAAAATTTGGGACAAGGAGATTTTCTTTTTTGCAATTATGAATTTAATATTATAGAAAAAGTATACACACTGATGTTATTTTTACATATTTGGATATAAATGAATCATCGATGATTACTGAATTTTAATCCTGTATGATATAAAATGAAAAATAAAAACTTATTGAAGATTTCTTTAAAAAATTTGAGTTTGAGAATTTTTTTTTACCTGTAACGGTAACAATCATGGAATGTTTCTATCATGAAATTACAGATTTGATATCATGATCATTCCTGTTGTAATATTTTGTGCGATCCAAACAAAAAACAGCAAATTCTTAAAATATTTTGTTCACCAACCTGTTGAATGAAATGTACGTATCCTTTTCAGAGACCACCAAGATATAAGTAAAATTACTAGAATATCAATTTACAACATTATTGTTTTAAATATTGTTGACAAAAGGCTCAAGTCTCCAAATTGAAAGATCACGTCCATTTAACATACTTTATCCGATGATCAGAGACACCCTAAATTTTAACGTAAAGGTGCAAAAAGACATCAGGACAATGAAATTCCACCTGTATTCAAACATCATTTACCTGTCAAAATTCAATTAGATCTTACCTGTTCATTCAAATTTATTTATTCCTACAAAAATTTTTTCACTAATTTCCCATAATGTTGAAAAAGTTTTAATCCAAAGGATAAGTGTTTTAATCTGTACGATTTTATTAAGTTTAACTTAGTCCATGTGGCGGAGATTACAATGTTATGTGTAACACTCTCGGTATTAACGGCCAGGTATCAGAGAAAACGATCTGTCTTCTGTATACCTTTACATGATATGGTTGAAAGGTCATCAATGGTGTTGTAGTCGTCTCGGCAGTCGAATCGGTTTACCTGTATTTACATTACTATTCATCTATTTTACCCTCTCATATTAAAAACACAGTTCAATACTTCTGACAGTTTAACAGACGTTTTTTTTTGTTTGTGATTTTGTTATCACAACCTTATTTCTATACATGGTATATATACACAAGATTATACCTGAACTTATAAGAGATAAAACTTACAAGGTTTCATCAGACTAAAGTCTTAATATTTTTCTAATTAAGTAAATGTTGGCTTTAATAAGTCTTTTTTTTTTAAGTTCAAAATAAATGATCGGAATATGATTTAGTGAAAAATCTGAACTCACTTCTGGTTGAAACACTCAAGTTCCTGTGCTTGTCAAATATTTGTCAGAAAATCTTGGTCTAACATAAAGTCCCTTAGAAAGATCATGTGACAACTCATTTATTAGTCCCAGAGAATGGTAACGAGACAATTCATTGAGCTAAAAAGTCCTTAAGTTGTCAAAACGATCAGTATTTAAAAAAAAATGTACTTATATAAAAGTAATTAATAGGAATCATGAATAATATCTTCTAAAAACAATGAAATAGACAACTCAACTGAGAACTCAACGCTTGTCAAAACATTCACCTAATTATCACCTATTAAAATTATAAATAAAAATCATAAGTTATATAGATCATATTTCCATGTATACAATCACAGCCTAAGGCTCAAATCAAAACTTTGACCTCATTAATTTCTACCTGTTATCAAATTATCATTAGTTGATTACCCTCAGGTGAAACATACATTTAATATTACTTTGCCAAATTTTGATAGTAAGAGATAAAAAAAAATCCAGTCATAAATATTTTTCTAGAGATGAATATATTATTAGAGGATTATAATTTGGGACAGACATATATTTTGATAGTGAATGACCATTTATTAGTATTGATTTTTTCTCAATATTGACCAAGTCTACAACCCCATTCAATGTTGACCAAGTCTACACCACCATTCTAAGAGCTTTTGACACATTTCTACGTTAATGTAAAAACAACAAAAGAAAACTTTCTTTGAAATCAATTATGAGCTTCAATGTAAAAGATATTTTAGTTTATTTATCCCAGTTTTGTCCATTTAAACATATGTTCAGTTTCACCTTGATATCAACGAGGTGTTGATTTCGCTGTGTTTATTCTGTAACCGGTGTACATTGGCTTTTTTCAAATATTTTGATAAGGTCCATTTAGAACAAATTTTCGGCTTTACTTTACCAACAAAAGACTTTGGTATTTCGATTATCCGCTGTTATGTGTAACCTGGGAAAAACACACATAAATCTTTTTCGTCATTTAAAATTGATGTCGTTTTCAATTTTAATCGATTTATACCTTTGTTTGTTTTTGACTTGTGTTCGATACTTTCAGTCTTTATTTTCCCAATCATCAAATAATTGATATATGTTTGAGTGTTCGGAAATAATATACGGTAAACTATTTGTTCACAAATAGATAAATTTGACTTCTATGGGACACGTTGTTTGGCATTCGTTAATAAATAGGAATATACACCAGACTTTGTAAATATCCAAATTGAATTATATCAGTTCTTTTGTCTAGTAAGAAAATTCCCTTAAGTTTCTTTTGGTCTGCACAAAAAATGCATTTGGAAAAATTAAAAGTTTAATGATGTTTCAATATTTTTTTTTTAGGTTAAAAGCTTTATGTAATGAACATTATTTTTTATTTTATTTTATAATATATTGTGACTAAACTTATTTAGAAAAAAAGGAATTGTCTCATTGGCAATAATACATGTACTTGAATCATCTCCTTTTTTATAGGTAACTTTTTGTAATGAAAGTTCTATACAACATTTAGCATTTGTCACATTTTCATTAAAAACATAGAATTGAAATCTATAAATACTATTTTGCAAACACAGCGATGAAAATTATTGATGATCAATTTCTTGTAAATTTATATAAACAAATGAAAAAAAGCTCTTTTATTTTTGTGAAGAAAGAAGTGCTTAAAACATGTGCTTCAGTGTGTTTTTAAAAATGAATAGCAATTTTAAATTTATTGGGACAACTAAAAGGTGTGGAAGCAGAAAAAAATGTGCCTTTCTGGTAGTTCAAAAGCACAAAATGTTTGATCGATTTTGCTGATTTCAACAGATGAAATTGACCTGAAAAGGACAACTTAAATTCTGGTGTTTGTTTCATTGACCTTTGACTTCTTGACAGCTGCGATCATAATCCGATCAGTTCAATACATCTGCATTATTGCCCTTGTTTTGAAAAATAATAATGAACATCCGTAAATTCTCGATTGAGCGAACAATGAAAAGACCAAATGATCGATAATTTGCCATGTTAGGGGAAACCAAGCTACCCTTCAATTACCAGTAATAATTTTGGGATTAAGATGTATCATGGTCGTTGAGGCGATTGCAGGGTATTATTTTGTTCCAGACATGAGTCTATAATTAGTACAGGGAGGTTACCATGTTTTGAAGGTTAACTGATAATTAGGGTGAAAATAAAATTCAACAGGTTTCTGGATCACAACAGTGACCCTATTGAAAATGTCTGGTTTTATTTTCTTCTTTTCTAATGATGTGAAAAAAGGGGGTAAAAACATATGTTTATTTAAATTGCTTTTTTAACTTGTAGATGTAATTTATCTTTAAAAAATAAAATGAATTGATAATTGTTTAAATGCATATGAATAGCCTTTCAGAAGAACATAAATGAAATGAAACATTAACCCAACAACACAAGCAAAATTAAAAGTATAAATAGAGGTCAATTAATTTTTCATAGAATAAAAAAAAAAACAGAAACGTTGGAAAGTATTTGGTTAATCAAATAAATTTTAGGTTTTTTCCTCTCTGAGACAAGATGCAAACTCTATCACAAGGTTTGTTCATCTTGTTGTTTTTCCAATTGAAATCAAGAAAAGTTTTTTAGTTGGTTATAGTAGATGGACATTTTTTTCTAAAACAATAAACTTTACCCATTACAATTTTTCAGGGATTTTTTTCATTGTTGGAAATTCACAGTGCCCACTGGCCCTAGCACCTTTAATTTGGTGCTTTTAGAAATTAAGACGGTTTAATTACTTGAAGATAAAAAAAAAGTTTGCACTCATAGAGTTTTACAGAATACCTACCATTGCTAAAATGATTTTACTTTTTCTTAGGCAGAGAATGTTGTATTATGTGTAGCAGACCTGAAACAGAAAAATATAGAATAAACATGTGTTACTGATTTCTGTGCACATGACAAAAAAATAATGTTATCATATTATATATATAGTTACTGTAAAGTATTTTCTTTTTTGTCTAGATTAAATTTTGGGATTTTAAAGAACCCAACTGTTAACCTGTTCAAGACATGTTTTTATTTCAACTTTTTCTTGTTCTTGACTCTATGATCTTCCTTTAATATAAAATTTATGCAAAGGAATATTTTTTCATGATTTTGTCTTTATACTGAAATTAGCGAAAATAAACCCCTCATGTAAATTTCCAATTTTAAAGTACATTTATATTGATGGGTTGCTGTTTTATTGAGATATACATCCAACCTCTTTTTATAATATTGTTAAAATCGGTTTAGGGATCACAGTTGAAAACTTTCTAATTTGCCTATAATTCCAGTAATCTTTTGCCTTTGAAGCTGCATGATTAATAAATAAGTTGATAAACGATAATGTACAATTTTTAGATTAAGAGTAAAAATCTGAGTGTCACAATGTTTAAAAAACAAATTTCCTAACTCCCAAGTCAATTTCATAACCTTGTAGATCATTTAAGCTACTTAGGGCAGTTAAGAAATAATTAATGCTTAACATAATAATCCTTTTATCAGTACAGGAAAGGGGTCTGAATATGATTTCAAAATTAACTGTTTTTACAATAATTTCCAAATTTGAGATAATGACGGCTGTGATTTTTTATCTCTAAGATATTGACAGGCATTATCAATTTTTAACAGACAGAAATATTTCTTGCCTGCCGTATCAATAATCCTTCGCGAGTTGTATTATTTGTCTTCGGCCGGTAATATAGATAGCCCCCTGCGTCTAACGACCATGGTTATGAGTTCAAAGTATTTGTACCTGGTTTTTATCTAAATAAGGTGGCCATTATCTCGTTTAAGTACGATATCGTTTACAGTGACCCTAAACAATACAAACCTACTTATCTCATCAGATATCCGAAGCCGTGTATTGTTCCTAATCTCATAAATTCCATTATTCAGAGAATAAGTAAATATTTATGAATGGTCAACGGTCCATTGTACCAACGGAAGCAATTAGAGTAATTTTCTCATTCTCATCGGGGTAACTCTCAAGTATAGTGTTTGAATAAGGTCTCCATTTTATCATTAAATTATTTCTCTAATTTGATTGTAAGATTTTAAAAGCACACTTTAATACTCACTTTGGTAATATTGAAGTATCCTTTTTGGCCTTTATCGGAATGATACTATTGGCAGTATTTACTCATATATATTTACAAGTATCCCATGAATGTTTTATTACAGATTTCTGTAGTTTATGGACTAGTTTATTTACTGATCTAATAGATATTGTACTAATACTAGATATAATAAGCCCAAGGCTTGTTAACGTTTTGACATGTGGGCTTTGTACAGTATTAATAATAAATGTTTGTGTGCTAATAAGTAAGAAATGAACAATCAGTTAGGGTAAATGTCCATATGTTTATTTCACACCTATTGTGATCTTACGTAACACATGTAATTGTACTTTGCCTCCCTAAACAGATTTTTTGTCACCGTAACTTCCTTGAAATTGATTGTTCCCTCTAGAAATCATTTGTCTTCGATTCCTAGGGAAGAATTAACAGATTAATGTTATGAAAATTTGTTTCAAAGGGATTCATTTATAGATTACCTGGTAGTGTAAAATTAGTTATCATAATTAAAAAAATAAGAGAAAATTAGATTTTGTATTCCATGATTAAGGTTAATTCATAATTAATGGGGTTTTTTTTATCTTAGCAATTCATCTTGCTAATGACTCTGTTTTAATGGGGTTTTCTGATTAAAGTAATTTCTAAACAAACTTATAAGTCAATTCTGAGTTTTCTTTTTTCTAACCTCTTCTAATGTATTTTCCCTAATAAGATTGGGCATGAGATTCCTCAGATAACAGTATTTTTTTATCAACAACAAAAAATTCCACTGTCCTTAAGATCAAATTGGACCTTATATAATGCTGGCCCTTATTTAACATAAAGGGGGAAAATACCAAAGGTTCAAACTTCAACCACATGTAGACAAAAGACAGACAACAACATGGATCGAAGAAAAAAACTGAGTCAAAAGAGATAAACAACAGTTCACAAAACACAGTAACATTACATGTAAAACTAAAGATGAAGCAACATAAAAAGCCACTACAAACCGTGATGAACTCAGGTGCAACAGCATTTATAAAAAAACAACAACAAAACAACAAAATAAACCAATCAAAATATGTCACTGGCTTGAAAGTCCATTTTGACCGTTATAATGCTGGCCCTTTTACAAAGTAGTATATGAATAACTTGATATTATTTTTATGTTTTTATGAGATTTCCTATCAGTTTTGACTAATGTGATATAAAATTGAAATGGAAACGGGGAATCATGTCAAAGAGACAACCACACGACCAAAGAACAGAAAACAGCCCAAGGCCACCAATGGGTCTTCAACACAGCGAGAAAATCCCGTACCAGGAGGTGGCTTCAGATATGTCTGTTTGTACTTATCTTTCTGTGTATAGATGTTATGTTTATTAGTATTGCTTTATTTGGTTCAGTATAATCCTCAAATTTTCTTTTTCTCAAACCACCCTGACCCTTATACAGCATAATACCTATATATTAAAGGTACATGTATCAGAATATGATTTTGATTTTTTTAAGTATAGATATGATTATAAAATACTTTTGGTCTCATAAAAAGTTTCCTATAAATCAGAGGGGTGTGGAGTGTAACAGAGATTATAATCATAGTTTATTATTATTATTTGGTATATAGTCCCTTTACAATGAAAGTTTGTGTGAGACGGATGGTTACTACAAAGGTCCACTTGCAATGTAATGTTTTACGATGATAAAAATGTAATATTTTAAATCTAACTAGCAGCATGAGGTCATCATATTTACTGTCCGCCAAGAAAATGTTTATGAAAGACTCAATTGAATAATGATTATACTACTCAGGTTTCATCAAAAGACTTTTGTGTCCTTCCTTAGCCATAAACTATCTTTAATGTTCACCTCTAAAAAAAGAGAAATGGATTCAAATTAAAAGGTTCAGCTATCACAAACTGATGTCTTGCAGTTTCACACTGCAATATATATCTTATAACCCTAGGTCAAAGAAATTACAACATTGTAAATAGGACAGAGGGCCATTTTTGATTTTTTTTTTTTTTTTTTTGTAGTTTCAAGAAGGCTGTATAAAAGTGTCTTTTCCCTTTCATTTTCCACAAAAAGTGCTAAATTTAATAACTTGGGCTTTTAATTGTCAACTTTTTAAGGGCTGTTTTCATAATATTAATATGGCCCGGAATTGGGTCTTTTCATTTCTAAATTTTTGCAGATTGTACAGGCAATTCTTTAAAGTATTATTCTAGAATACCCCTAAAAAGTAAGGAAAAAAGAAGGCTTTTCTCCACATATTCTGGAGAGTACTTTAACATCCAAGGAGGCATCTTTGGACAACTTTGTAAAGGGAAGTAACTGTTTAACAAAAATGAAAAAAGGAGTCAATGAATTTAAACATGTTAGCTTACACACATGATCAGTATTTACTGAATCATTCCTCTCTCAAACTTGACAAGGTTAGAAATACTGGTTCATTTATTATTCCTCTCTCAAACTTGACAAGGTTAGAAATACTGGTTCATTTATTATTCCTCTCTCAAACTTGACAAGGTTAGAAATACTGGTTCATTTATTATTCCTCTCTCAAATTGACAAGGTTAGAAATACTGGTTCATTTATTATTCCTCTCTCAAACTTGACAAGGTTAGAAATACTGGTTCATTTTTTATTCCTCTCTCAAACTAGACAAGGTTAGAAATACTGGTTCATTTTTTATGGGATCCTTTTGATGGTTAATGGATTTTAATTTCATTACCTCTGGAAAATAAAAAGATAAGTTGTATAATCAAATCGTGGAGGTATTTGATTGAGCTCTGTAGCGCTTACTTGGCTTAATTTGATTTTATTATACAATAAGAGATAGCACTTTATTGAAGATAAGTTGTTTAGGTATACTAACGATGCATGGTTGATATTTTTACAAGATATTGGTGTCACATGGAAACAGTTAGTGTAGCTTTTTTGTGGTGTGTTTGAAGAATAGAAGATGCTCCTACTTGAGAATCTACATATTTGATACCTTGGCATTCCAGTGATTCAGTAACAAGATGGGATAATCAATGTTTTAAAATAACTGATAAAGGAGGGGGGGTAGTGTTCATTTCATACCACCTTGTTTAAATTAACAATACAGTACAGACATATGTTTTTTCATAAGATAAGTTAAATGGTTATAGTGGGGAAAATGAAACCCATAAAGTGAATTCTGATTATTTAGTGTGGTTGAATAAAATAATTTCAATGTTGACCTTACTTACACAAGTCCAAGATTTTGACCTCATAGATTTCTGATAGACCCTATTAAAAATTACCTTTGAAAATCTCCACAAAGAATAAGGAACAAATTTGTAAAAGATATTTAGGGAGAGGAGAAGTAACTACATGCATAAACTTCTTTCTAAATGAATTATTTAATACTTTTATAAACTCAATGCATTGATTTTAAGTATAAGGATTGAACAAAAATATATCTTAAGGCCATACAGAAATGTGTACTTCCTACCTCTGTTATGATAAGTTCGGTGAAAAAGTCGTGTCCTAAACCCAGCCCCGGGTGTTATCAATGTGTGATCAGATATTCCTTCAGATATAAACAAGTTTGTATTGTTATTAAAATAAAATTTAAAGAAATCGTTGATCTGGAATTAAAATTATATTTATTTAAGAATTGTTGAATAAGTCTGTTTAAAGAAAGAAGAAATTTTATTACATTTTAACACGTCTTTGATAGCTACCCACCCTAAGGGAAATATATGTCCTTTTATGAGTGTTATGTAATATGTAAAAGATGTAATTTTCACCTTTCATGTAATAAACCATTTTTGAGGGTGACATCAGGGGAGTGTTAATTGTCTTTAATTGATGCCTTTAACTTGGAATTCTTTTGAAGTATATTGACTCAGTAGTGAAAATTGGAATTGTCAAACTATTGTTTTTTTTTATTGTGGACGAAATTGCATTCAGCTTGCTTTTTTTGATTTTTTAATTGGTCATTGAAAAATATTTTATTTTTTTATTATTTTTTTTATTGTGAAAACCAATCAATTGTTTTATACTGGAGGAAAAAATGAAAACACAGAAGCTGAGGAATAACAAATATTAGTAAATGACTGAACAAATAAAGTAAATAAAGTGATTGTCAGAAAAAGTTGTCAGTTATAATGGTTTCTAGTAAACATCCATCTGAGCGTTGTGGATTTTTTAGTTCTATCAATGATTTAGGTTCCAGTGTAAAACTTTGCTCATTAAAGACCAATAAATGAATATTGAAACAATAAACACTCTTGCAATGTACATAGAATGTTAGATTGCCTCATCTTGGGGAAAAAAAACTGAAAACAAAAAGGAACCCAAAAGATTAAAAAAGGGTCAGCTGTCATTTGAATAATAGGAAATAGGTCTCAATTCTTTTTACACACACCAACATGTAATCCTTGTGTGAATGAAAGGAGAATTGTTGTCCACATCAATGACACAGCAACAGAACAACACAAAAAGACATTTCCTTGCTTGTCTCTGCTCTGATTAGAGTTAATCAGTTTTTATAGATATAAAAGAAAAACAAAGTGTATGGGTTATCCTGATCCATGACATAAAATCAGTACATGGACAGCAAAAAAACTCAAAAAGGAGAGGAACAGTGCTTTTATTGCTGTTCTTCATCCTCAAAGTCACTGTGAGCATAATAAAAGCCTTTTTTCCATATTGACATTTGAAGTCAACCCCACCCCCCCCCCTCTTTTCAAAAGTTTCTTGTCCCTCATGATAGGGAATACTGTACACTTTTGATAATTTCAAAAATCGGAAGGAATTTTAAATTACAGAATTTTGAATTCTATTTCTGTAATGAACTTTGGTGTGTCTGACCCCATTTGATCACCCTGGTTGATGGAATATGGCAATTACCCAGATAGGGGGAGCGTCCGTTCAATGGAAATCATTCCAAACAAAATACTAAAGTGAGCCTGACTTCGTAGTTTTAAAATCTTCAAATGACATTTATCTTGTTATATTTCATCTTTTAAACACATTATGGAATAAATCTATTTAGTTGATATCTATTTGGTTATTTTGAATAAAGGAAATTAAGTAATTCAGTGTTTGTCAATTAATCATAACAACATCTCAGATATCCTGCTGTTGGTGTCATTTAGAGTAGTCTCAAATTTCACAAAATGTTCACTGACATTGAATTGTTGTATCAGGGGCAGATCCAGCCATTTTTAAAAGGAAGGGGGGGGTTCCAACCATATGTCCCCATTCAACAGCATTGATCGTCCAAAAAAAAGAGGGGTTTCAACCCCTGTAACCCCCCACCGGAGCCGCCACTGTGTATAAAACCCAATATGATAAAATAAAAAAATATTTCTTTGATTTGTTTCTGACCGACATTTGGTCCAATACTTAGGTCATTTATATGTTTGCGATATCCCAAGCAGGCCTTCTTTCTCGGTAAGCCAAACAGATTACAAATTATTTTAATATTTTAGACTGTCATGTAAAATACATTTAGGGCAGAGAAACATGTCCTCTAGGAGATAATGTGTTTTTTGACAGTTTTACGAGGTCTGGGTTTAACCACCTGTGCAAGGTGAGATGCAAATATTATTCTTATTTAATAATACAATGATTTATAAATTATATTTATGATATCATATAATAATTTAAAAGTCATTAGCAACTTAAATTGTGCAGAACTATTTTGTACAGTCAAATTGACAAGGAAAGAAATGTAAGCTATAATTTTGTCATTTGAAATTTTCTTCTTTCTTACCTGTAATTTTTAAATGCTTAGATCATAAAAATATTAAGAAATTGACATGGCAATACACATCCCAAAGTCACAGTACAAGATGTAATCCATTAACTATGACAGCCTGCTAATCATTCAATCGTAAGGTAAATTAAATCCATATACCAAATACACAGTATATATTTATCACAAAACTCTCAAGTATTGATTTAATTAAGTCAGTATTTTTTTTCCAGTAAAGTATTCAAACATTCAGGTGACTTTCGCTTCTGTGTATGATCATGGAATATTTGAATTCTTTTAAGCTTTAAGGTGAAGAGATGAATAGCTTGTCCTGAAGACTAAATAATTGTAGTCAGTGAACTATAGTCCTTCACAACTATTCACTTTTTTTTCAATAACTGTGATTACACTGTGTGTCACTCAAAACCACAAGCTCCGCCCCTATACTCATCACAGCCAATCAAGTGTGTCTAATTACTTACCTGTGTGAAATCTGTTTGATCAGAGTGACTTTGATCTTTACAATAAATTAGAACCATGTCAATAAAAGCAACTTATTGAGAAAATGGAACATTAATATATGATAATGGATTTGTAGATAGAACTTTTATACAAGTAGTACTGTATTGATTTGACACCTGCAGAAAGTTATATCAAAATATAACAGTACATTTAATTAGTTTTTTTTTTTTTTTTAAATTTATGGATTTATTTCAGTAATGAATTTGCATAGGATATAATTTATTAATCTTGATATAAATAAATATTATTTCTAAATGAAGCACTGCAGTTTTTTAAGAAATACATTTTTGGTATATAGTTATATATAAAGTAATCTAAATCTACTTATGAATTTACCAGATTCTTGGCAAATAGTATCTTCTCCAATGTACTAGAGTCTTTTGGTAGGATGCTCAGTGTCATCCTTAGGTATATAGACGGTGAGGTCATGAGTTTGATATTATGCCTGCAGTCATTAAATGGAAGAATGATAGTTGCGGCTTCTACACATAGTATTTTAGAGTTAGTTCTGAGACCAACAGATGTATTCATTTTATAAATCACAATTAAGAGCAAGGACTAGTTGCAAAGATACCAAATAAAAGTGTCTGCTGGGTTGACTGACAAATAAAATTCTCCCTATGCAGGAATTTTATAGTGTAAAGCTTCCATATATTTAGTAAAATCTGGCTAAAGGGTTTGATAATTAATATCTGGAATTCAAATACTGGTGATAGTGGTCTTTGAAATGAAGTTCTAGTGTGAATACCAGTATTATAGATGTATTACCTGTAAGTAATTGTATACATACAGAAATATTAATGTTGGATCCCTAAGGTTTTCAATTATCTAATGACTCATGTCCACTGTTGTTTTTACATTTATTCTAAATCTACAGAACTTTTATGTTACTCATTAATATTTAACAGCACTGCTCTTCATATAAAAATGTTTCTTAATTGAAAAATTATTGACAAAACATATTGTCTATTATATCAGGCCATGGTGAAGAAATGTTCAGTTTTCCATATCCCAAACTTTCCCGCTGGACTTTGAGTATGCTTGTACTATTTTTATAAAAGGATATCAATGCATATATATGTCAGTATATAAACAAACAAAATTTAGGTATATTAAAAAAAAACAAAAAAACTGAAGAAACAAGAAAATCACAGTTTTAAAAGCAAAGTAATGTACAGGATTTTAAAGTAATTAATTTCTTTGGAAGTAGCTATAATTATTAAACACTTATCTTTCAGCTGAAATAAAAAAAAAAAGAAACAAATAGAATAACAACAACATAATTAATAAAAAAAAAAGGTTATTCAAATATGTTCACTGAAACAGAAAAAGGTATTATTTTTGTCTTTTTTTGTTGTGATCCATATGGTCCTATTAATTATGAAAAGGACAAAAATTGTATATTTACTTTAGAGAATAAATTAATCAAGTGAAAAAATTGGGACAAATAATTTATATATCACTGCAGGGCAGATGTCTGACACAGAACACATACATATATCACAATTGGGTGGGATTAGGTTAAGGGTCAAAGGATCTATTGTTCCTTTTTACAAGTTTTCCCTTTATTTATTCAGGAAGGGTGGATAATTGAATTATCTCTGGGCACAGATTAACACATTATTTAGGCATTTTCATGTCATAAAATATTGTTTAGAAACTAGATTATCACCCAATGAGACAATTATATGTTGTAAAATTTATTATTTAGAAATGAGATTATCTCCCCTATTGTTTAGATAAAGGATTATCTTTTCTTTGTTTAGGGTGGATTATCTACCTTGGATGTAGAAGATAACTGGATTATTACACATTTATAAAGACCATAATGATAAAAGACTTATGACGTTAGTTTCAATGTAAATTTAAGGGTGTGAAAATATTTGGCTATCATTAGGTCCAATATAAACAATGACGATAATCATATTTCTTACGAGAAAATATTTGTATATTTCATTAGTGAGTCTAGTGACCACATTATATATATAATATAAAGGTTTAAAAAATCTTCAAATGAACTGTTGAACTCATACTTTAGACTAGTTTAAACTAATAGTACATTATGTTGCTTGCTGTATTACTTGAAAAAAGAGGGGGGCTTCTTTCCTTTCATTTAATAGTGAGAGTGTCAGCTCTCTCTATCTTTTATCATATGAGATAATTGTGCATAAAGCCCAAAGTTTTTTAGTTTTCCCTACATTTAGAGATCTATTTATGGATAATAGTGCAAGGAGATGTGGGATATATAACGAATCACAAATTTTACTCTAAAATTACAATTTGAAGTTGGTTATCTCCCCTTATAGGTAGTAGAGCTGCTTAGCAGAAATGAAGCATAATGAAGGGTTTTTAATCCCTGTTGATTTAAAGATAATAATTTGTTTATATGAATATAAAAAATTATTTAAAATATTTTGTCTTCCAACATAACTCCCTATTAAACTGGATTATAAAGCTGGAAATGTATGAAAACTAAAGTGACACATTAATTGTTTTCTATTTAACTACCTACTGTTACTCTGCACTGCAGCGAACCAGTATTCATACCAGTATACTTACCAACAAGGGAAAGAACTTGTATTTAATTGTAATTTTAAATCAGATTCAGGCATTCGGAAGCGAGTGTCTAGAAAGTCCTATATATGTCAATGAGAAAACAACAGAAACAACACATTAGTAACCAAAATATATCTTGGACAGCAACATACACATATTTTTATTTAAAATATATTAATTATATTAAAAGTCAGAAAATATCACTATCACCAAATTCATTATATATAATACAATTATAAAGACTAAAAAAAATGTTTATTTTTAAAAACTGTTGTCCAAATTGGCTGACTCCCATATGCCTGATAAAATTGTTCATTGAAAATTGGTGCTTTCAATAATTGAGTTAAGTTGAATGAAAAAAAGTCCATAAATTGTGTAATTGTTTTGGCAAGTGAAATTTAATACCCTCCTGATAATCAGAATGCATCTACAACTATTTAAATATGCAAAATGATAACCTTGATCATCATAACAATGATCTTTAGCGTGCATAATCTGCTGAAGTCATAATTGCTTCACGAACTTTTGTATTGATGTTTTTCAATAATTTATTGACTTACGCTGTACCATAATTGATCTTGCAGTAAATGCCATGTCTTTGAGGAGTCACTCCTAAACATTTTTGTGGGTGGAAATTTTTTTATTTATTTTTTGTTGTCTGTTTTTTATGTTTTTTTTTTTTTTACAAAATAATAATAAAAAATTAAAAAAAAACAATTCCAAAATTTTGCATTGACCTTTTGAAAAAATTTTGCTGTGTCCTCTTCAATTTTTCTATTATTTTTAATTGTTCTATGCCAAACCATTTGGGATGTATTCCTCAAAATAAAATGCAAGCTGCATGCACTGTTTTACAATGCTAAGTTCCTTTGTAGGTAAAATTCCTTTTTACTGATTTCACACTTTAAATAATCATAACACCTAAATCATTGATAATACATGTACATGTACTTGAGTAGGTCACTTTGAAATTTACATCATTTTTGTCGAGCCTGCGACTTTTGTCGCAGAAAGCTCGACATAGGGATAGTGATCTGGCAGCGGCTGCAGCAGCATTAGCTAACTTCTTAAAAGCTTTATATTTTAGAAGCTAGAAGACCTGGATGCTTCATACTTTGTATATAGAATTGCCTTATGTTACGAAGTTTCCGTCTGTCATATGTCCATTGTCCTTGACCTCATTTTCATGGTTCAGTGACTACTTGAAAAAAAAGTCAAAATTTTTTGTAATGTTAATTTCTTTCTTGTTATGAGTAATAGGATAACTATATTTAGTATGTGCGTACCTTGCAAGGTCCTCATGCCCATCAGACAATTTTCATTTGACCTTGACCTCATTTCATGGATCAGTGAACAAGGTTAAGTTTTCGTGGTCAAGTCCATATATCAGATACTATAAGCAGTAGGTCTACTATATTTGGTATATGGAATAATTGTAAGGTGTACATGTCCAACTGGTAGGTGTCATCTGACCTTGACCTCATTTTCATGGTTCATTGGTCAATGTTAAGTTTTCTTGGTTAAGACTGTTTCTTAGAAACTATAAGCAATAGGTCAACTATGTTGGTTTATTGAATGATTGTAAGGTGTACATGTATTTCTCGTTTGGTTTATCTGACCTTGACCTCATTTTCTTGGATCATGTTAAGTTTATGTGTTACTTGTAGTAAAGCTTTATATTTAGGACTATCAACATAAAATCAATGGTTAGTAAAGAAGGCGAGACATTTCAGCGTGTGCACTCTTGTTAAATTTGTTGAATATTGAAATAATTTTGGTCTGATGGAATGTAGTACTGCTTGCTTCCATTATGAGTTAACACGATACAATAAGGTCAGAGCTCGTTTGACATTGGCAAATTTCTAAGACTGATATTTTTTCAAACATCTTTTTCAGTGACCTGATATTTGGAAAAAATACCCTTCTGATGTACAAAAGTTAGATTTTTACTTTTGATATTTGAAAAAAATTGTCTCCTGCAAAGTTAAATAGTATTTAAGAGGGGTCCCTGTAAAGGGGAGGTATCTGCACAGAAGAACGCGAAATAAAATTGCCATTTCACAATGAATGAACAATTAAAAATTTCTTGCACATTGATTTGTTTACTGATTTGACGAAACACGGTAAATAATGAACCTTTTTCACGGCTGCAAGTGAAATAAAAATGGCAAAACACGTTGCATGAAAATAACCCTTTACCACCCTCATTTAAGGAAGATGCACTACAAAAAAATCTACTTAACGTAAACTCTTATAATCTAATGTTCAGGAGTATTGAAATTTCATACAATTAGTTACA